GCACTCCTTAGATATATCAACTCATTTCTCTTGATCCACAAAATTTCCCTAATTCTTGTGAAAAACCTTAATATGAAATCTGTGTGTCACCCATATAAAAAGAGAAAAAAAGATGTCGATTATACTGGATATTTTACTCATTTTAGGCAAGTGTATGGATAAATTATTTGATCTCGTGGCATTGCTATTCTGCTAACTAATCAAACAATTTTTCCAGTCGCTAGTCTGACTCGTTTTCTCTGACTTCCTCCTACTTTCGTGCAAAGCCGCTTCTCTGATCTTATGCATACTTTATTTACTCTTAAAATCATTTCACCACTTCGCTTACTTTTTGTGATTGCATAATAAGTTACATTAGATTGTGTTTGCTATATCACAAAGTTTCTCTGATTTCTAGATTGTTGGTTAGTTCGTACTAGCTATTCTCGAATTTCAGCACATGCCGTTTTTTGAATAAGGGAATCAGATTATTCTGCCGTTGACCTTTGCCGGCTATCAGTGGTCAAGAGCCTCATATCTCTGATCCAGAAAGCCCATTTGATCACAGGGATGAGCGCCGATGAAATCCAAAAAGCGCTCGGCTTCAGCTCTTTTACGAGCAATAAACATGCGAGAAAGTTCGAATTCATGGAGGTCTTCCAGGAGGCTAAAACCATAGCGAAAGAAAGGAATGAAGAAGGCAATAAAAAACTCGCTGGTAAATCAATATTTGTATTTTTCACTTTTGATTAGAACTGGAAGCCGAGCTAACAAAGGAGCCTGAAACTGAGTCAGCAGTTAATAAAAGTGATTCTTCAGATGTCGATTCGGACGCCGATGAACCGGAGATCCATGATTCAAAGGACTCCAAGGAAGCTGATCCTGATGATCCGTACTTTGTCCCCATGACCGATTCTTTGCTTTTGAAGCACGGTCCAAAGCCACTAACGGCTGTAGCTGTAGATCCATCCGGGTCTCGTGTTGCAACTGGAGGCTTCGAGTTTGAAGTTAAACTTTGGGATTTCTCTGGCATGGATAAAAGTTGCCGAGCCTTCAAGGTTTTCCAACCTTTCGACGACAACCAAATTAAAGATCTCGAATTCAGCCCCTCGGGTACAAAACATATTTTTCTAGCATCATATGTGCGTTTTTGCTGTTAACTCGGTTTATCAGAGGACTTCAGAT